AAACTAAACTGGCATAGGGGCAACTGTGAAAACATGGAACATTCCAGAAAAAGTGATGCTGCACAGAGCTTGATCATTAACCTGCCAGGGCTACCATTCAAAGGCCACCTCAGCAGAGCTCTAACCTACTCCTTGAAGCCTCATTTGCCAGGTCTTTCTTGGAAATCATTTCAGCCAAGTTGGAACACATGCTATCCCCAAACATGTGCTAAACTTTCCCTCTGTTTGCTCATGCTCCTTCCTTGCACATCTAACCATGATGCTACCCAGAATCTTTCCTCTTTAAAACCCCTTCCATTTATTACCACATATTCTAAATGTCACTTTTTCCATGAAGCTTTCCTAACTCTTTAATCTAACTGTTCACTTTTCACTTTTGAATCCCCCCCCCCCATTTCATTTTGCTAGTGCTTTCTGTGGCAGTTGGTATAGTCTATCTACTTACATACTACCTCTCCCCTCTTGGATTAAAAGACAGAAAACTTAACCTCCTTCACTTTATATCACTCCCAACAACTTGCTCTGGTAGGTTATTTACTAACTTTTTAAATATTGAATTCACTAATAGAATCTGGTTGAGATGCTTATAAATCATGAAAGAAATGTATGCAATTTTAATCCTGATTGGGACAAAACAATTCTTGCTACTTTATTCATTTACTCCTTAAATATTTGTTACTGGTGCCTATGTTGTATAAGCTTATGGGATATGTGCAGGTCAACAGCTGGATACAGAAGCAGGTGATACGGTTGTGATAAAAGGAGTATGAGCGGGGCAGCTTGGGTGGCTCAGCGGTTTAGCGCCGCCTTCAGCCCAGGATGTGATCCTCGAGACCCAGGATCGAGTCCCATGTTGGGCTCCCTGCATGGAGCCTGCTTCTCTCTCTGCCTCTGTGTCTCTCATGAATGGGTAAATAAATTCTTAAAAAAAAAAAAAAAAGTATGGGATGGGCAGGTGGCGGGGGGGGGGGGATGGATAAACACTCATTCCTTAATACTCTCCAAAGGACTTCTAATGACTAAGAAAATAATTTTCTCAGTGGGTGATCCCTGAATCAGAAAGTTGACTTTGATATCAGATCTCTCTCCAAAGACAGTAGGAGCAGAAGATGTAAGCTCAGCCAGAGAAGAGATATTGAGCAAAGGTAGAGGAGGACCCTCTCCTCTCTGCACATTGAACTTGTGAACCTTTGGCAGAGGAAAATGTGAGGGCAGACTGATAAATATTTTCATCTACCTAGTAAAACCTCATGCTGTATACAAGCCATCATTACCACAATTACATCCTTTTTTCTCACATTTTTTTGAAGTGATTCAGAACAACTCTATCTTTGAAATGGTAGTGTTGAAATATGGTAAACATCTTACTTTCAGCTGCAATAAACTTATGGCTACAACATAATGTTTCTTGTATATTCCTTCTCTATTTCTCCTTTTGGATTATAGATTATGAAAGAGATTTTATGCAGCAGTTGGTGACAAAATATATTTCTTATTAATGTGTAATATTTGCTACATTAATAATTTTATGGCTTTAATTATTGATGCGAACTTAATTGTGCCCCATGTCCCCTTTTCTTGCAGCTCAATAAAAACTATATATTTCTTTAATTAGGCTTCATTTGAAGACTAGAAGACAATGCAGGAATGGTTTCTTGCTAATTCACCTATCTGGAGCCAGTAAAGAAATGGAATTAGTGTCTTGAATGTGGTTTAGTGAGAAAAAATATCTAACTGTTCTGAAAGTGTGACTTTCCTTTGCACAGTTAACCTCACCCAGAGGCCAGGGATATACAGCCAACTGAAACCGAACACTGCAACAGGGGATGGTTTTCTCCCTTTCCTGGCTCTGGGGAGAAATTCCATTGATTTTAGTAGAGATAGAAAGGGAAAATTGGGGTCACCTACATAGTTATCATACTGTCTTCCTTCTTTATATGCTCTGCTTTACTAGAAATGTAATCTTGGTCTTTTCCTGGTTGATTTCAACATTTTGTTATGGCATTCTACCCACAATCACAGGGAATGTTATAACTACTTTATTCTGGCCCAAATGCTTCAAAACAACTACAAAAAGGCTAGATGGAAGGAAACTAACATTTGCTAAGCATCTGGTCCAGGTTATACTAGGAGCTTCCAATCAATTATTTCTTTAATCTTCATGGGTCACAACAGCAAATGTCAACAAGATCAGAAATGAAGCAAGCAGATGGGGCTTGAGAAATAAGGAGCCCTCTCAGCTCCATCTTTCATTTTCCACTTTTGATAGAGAAATGAGTACAGAAAAAAATATTTAAGAATAACATTTGTAACTTTCTGTGAGAATAACAACAGAGCAAGTGCAATGAGGGGTTGCAAATGATACTCATATCTCAGAGTCATTTAGGCCATTGGGAGGGAAGGGAATAGGGCAAACTGGAAGGTGCACATCTCATCTGAGATTTTCTATTCCGGCTTTACTGCGCCATTTTGATAGCTCTTCTAAACTTTTAAGTGAAGCTTAAAAGCTTCATTCTTATATATATTTACTTTCTACTGTTACATAAAAGATGAACACAAACTTACTAGCATAAAACAATACAAATGTATGATCTCACAGTTTTCTTGCTCAGGAGTTAAAACATTATCTAGCTGAGTCTTGTGCTCATGGTGTCACCAGGCTAAAATCAAGGTGTTGGCAGGGCCTATAATCACACCTGTGCCTCTAGAGTCCTCTTCCAAACTCAGTGATTGATTGCTGAACCCATTTCCTTGCAGTTGTATGACCAATAACCCTATTTTCTTGCTAGCTGTTCACTAAGGACTACTTTCAGCTCTGAACCGTTCCCCACCCCACCCCCAGCCACAGACCTTCTCACCACATAGAAGCTTATTTCTTCAAGCCCAGAAGAATCTCTCTAATGCTTCAAATCTCTCTGACCTCTTTTAAGAGCTCACCTGCGTAGGTCAGGTTCACTAAGGATTATCTTCCCCCTCGATTAAATCAAAGTGAAATGATTAGGGACCTTAACTATATCTGCAAAATCCCTTTCTGCCTACAATGTAACATACTCACCAGAGTGATATTCCGTCATATTCATAAGTCTTTTTCCTAGCCCAAAGAGGGGATTTATACACCAGTGGGGGGGGGGGGGGGATCTTGGGAGCCATATTGGAATTCTGTCTACTATAACACCTTACCTCAGGCTTCCTATAGAAGTACAGCACTCTTTATAAAAAAAAATTAGCTGAATAGCCATGAATACTTTAACTTCCTTTTATTTTCTACAACTGCTTTGACCTCTTTGCACTATCTTATCATAGTATCTATCGGTCCAATGCCGTCTAATTCAGTGCCTGTCACTATTTTAAAACTTCAGTGTCAGAGCCTTTTTCCTGCAATTTGATAAGTATAATAAATAGTTGTCACAAATGAAATTTGCACAAAAGCTAACTGTGATGTCAATAACAGGTATAGTTTTTGTAACTGTAATGTAGGTTGATTCTTGAAATCCTAAATTTATTATTAGTACATTCTATTCAGAGGGACTTACTCTCTTGATATACATAGAAAATTCAAACTTCAAAGCATTTTAGAAAATGACAGACATCTGAAAGTCCCATTTTTATTCCAATGAAAATACCTTTTACCAAGAAGTTAAAATTTCCCACAAATATAAAAGGACTTAGAAAAATAAGGGTAATAAAAAGTGCTATTATTCTCAGTAAGACAACTTATAACCATGTTGATTTAGGAAAATCTTCAAGCATTTACTTGGGCAATTGTAAGGTAAACTCAGTTCCCACAATGAAAGGAAAATGCTTTGAGGAGTTTTCTGGGGTTTCTTTTTAGCTTACTTGCTTCTTTACCTATAAAAATCTTTTATATCATTTTTTTAGGCAAACTGTAAGAAATATTATGTTTATAGGATAAACCCATTTATAGGAATTCAGATTTAATTTTTAAAATAGATAAACACAGCCCTATAAATAAAATCAATGATTTCCCCCAGATACTTTTAAAAAATAAACACAAAGAAATCAGCTCTGGTTGTCTCATTTGTCGCTTGAACACCAAAGAGCAATGCACTGGGATTTTAAAGAGTGGTTACTTTACGAATCATATACAGTAATTCACGACTTAGAAAAGAACTACTGAGTTGTCTAGCTATTCTAAGAGTTGCAGTTAAAACACACCACCAGCTCACTTCATGCATGGAAGAAAATTCTCAAAACTCTTAAATAAGTCTCCAGTCAATTAAATAACAACTACGTTTACCAGATAAGTATTGTGTACTTCTCCAGTTCTTATTGATGAATCTCTTATTCTCAGTTTTAAAATTTATTGTGTCAAGTAAGTGGCTATAAGTGGGTTGACTTATATTTTTCGTAGTATATAGATTAACTAGATCAATTCAACCAAATGCCAATATTTTACCCCATCTCATTTTCTTTTTCATTTTTTTTAAAGATTTTATTTAATTATTGACAGAGAGAAAGAGGATTAGCACAAGCAGGAGGAGTGGTAGGCAGCGGGGGAGGGAGAAGCAGGCTCCCCACAGAGCGGGGAGCCTGATGCAGGGCTGGATCCCAGGACGCCGGGATCATGACCTGAGCTAAAGGCAGATGCCCCAATGACTGAGCCACCTAGGTGCCCTACTCCATCTAATTTTCAACACAACATGCTGACAAACACTTCTAGAAAAATGTTCCTGTATTTATTTGTAGCTTGAGAAGACTGATAGGGCTACAAAAATGTAATCCTAAATTGAAATTTTAATTTGATAAGCAGTCATTTCTGAGCACTTTCGATTGTGCCAAGGATGATTTTTTACAAATTTGTGGTAAGTTTATTGTAGTCATTTGATAACAGTAATGATTTCAAAAAACTAGAGAGAAGATGAAATTAGTAATATTTTAAAAAAGAAAGAAAAGAAAGCTCGTTTTTAAAAGCATTTTCCTATTTTCTTATTTATTATATTTAAAAATAAAAACAAAGCTAATTTTAGCTCTTGACCTACCTCTTTATTCCTCTGACTGAGCAGAAAAACTTTTCCTTGGTATAATTTGAGAAGCACTGAACACCTTCAGCTGGCCTTGGCTTGATTCTGGTGACTAAGACTTCAAGACTTCAGTTTAAAGGCATTGGCAACCACCATTTAAAGGCAGAAGTTATCTGGCAGGGGCAATGCATAAAGTCATTATCACATAAGATTAGTTCTGAAAGATAAATAGTGGCCTTCTAGTGAGTCCCTAGCAGAATAGGGGGCAGAGCAGTCGGGTTTGAAGAGGATAGGAAAAAGAAAAGTCATCCTCTAAAATATCTCAGCCACAATAATCATCCAGTGAATATCTACTGAATTGAACCAACTTAGCACCAGACTTTACTTCTGAGACTCTGTCAAAGAATAACATATTGTAGCTGAATCCCAAGGGAAACTTTGATGCCCAGGGGAAAGGAAGAGCAGTTAGAGGGCAGAGCTACAAAAGGAGGTGAGGAGAGTACCCATATCCACATCTGAATATTTAAAATTAAGTAGAAGTAAGGAAACAGGACATGTTGTGTACAGTACAAAATTTAATCTGTTCCTATTCAGCTGACAATTCATTTTAGAAACCCATGAAGGTTAAATTAACATCTGAAATACAGAAAAAAATTATAGAAGTTTTTCATATATCTAGATAGCTTGTAAATATAATTTTCATATCATTTAAGTAAAGCAGGAAAACAAAGCTCCCCCAGTTTGTATCTTGAATTCACAGGACAATTTACCTATGATAGAAAATAAAGCTATTGGTTAACAACTTGAATAATCACCACCATATACAAGATTAAGGTAATACTATACTTTTCAGATTTACAGTATTACTTCCAAACTGTCTAGAACTGGAATTCAAATCTACAGCATGGTCCTCATGGTACAATAGATCTTTAATTTTGCTCTGTGGCCATCTTACCCAAGATGATGCAGATTACAAAGTTTAACTTTATATCTACAACATTATCATTTCTTTTTCTCCAACAGTATACCAATAAATTTCTGCCAGTGAATTGGCAAAATCATGATTTTTCTTAATTTATTTTTTTCCATCCAATAATTTTTCAACCTAGCTCTAAGATCTCTGGTTTTACTTCTTGTGGGAAAGAAGCAGCTTGTTGGCACAATGCAGTAAGATCTAGGGATCTATAACATGGGAAAATGACTGATTGTTTCAGTATTTCCACCAGTAGTTTTCAGAAGGCAGGACCACACAAATGTATTTAATGAGAAGAAGTGATCACTGAAGTTCAGGATATAAATGCCAAGACACTGCATATGATGCAGCTCTGTCTGTTGGTATCTAGGACATCCAGAGTTCAAAGGGAAGACCCACTAGAAAGAGCTTCCCAGGAAAGCCAGGGAGTTCTGGATAATATTTCAAATATGCCTACTCCCTACCTGAGTGATTGATCATATTTCCTTGATTCAAGATACCCATTTTTCACAGTTATGGTTCCCCACATCAGAAAGCAACTTTAATCAAGGTATACTTTTAATATCTTTTTTTCTTTTTTGTAAACATATTATCTAATTAAGAGTGAAACTTAAATAAATCATCAGTGGTTCTATATACTTGAAAACATAAGGTGTTCCAACAGATCAAACAGGGCCAAACATAAGAAGAGTAAAACTTTATACAGGACTAATATTTGCCATGATATTGTAAAACTTAAATGAAGAAAAACAGAAAAGGAAAAATTCTGTACCATGGTAGTGATCTTAGCTATTAGACACTAGTTCTATGTTTTAAAGCATGTGGAATGCTTCTCTAGACTAAATTTAGTATCCTTGTGGGGGAGAGAATTTCTTGTTATTTATAAGAACACTGTGTGTGTGTGTGTGTGTGTGTGTGTGTGTGTGTGTGTGTGTGTGTGTCTGTTGGGGCAGAGGGGGGTGTTCCAAGTAATTCAAAGCACATTAGAGACCTTAAGATGGTATCTACAACGTGACAATTAAAGTTTTCATGAAGATAAGTGATTACATGTGGTTAAAAGTGGTGATAGCAAAATAAATTTCTTTTCATTGAAAAGTTGTAATTTGACCTGTTTTGACACATCAAGGGGAGGCTTCCACCCTAAACCTTTTTCTTAATGCATGAGTCAATCAAGTAATTCTAACTGGGGCTATAATTGAGCATTCTGGCAATACAAGGAGACAAAGTTTATCTAGAACATCTGGCTCATTTTACAGACAAGAAAAATGAGGTCCAAGAAGAAAGTCATTGGCTTTGCCCAAGCTTGCCTAGTTAATTAGTGACAGAACCATGTATTTTCTGTTTTCTAGCAAAATACTTTTTTAGGGGAGAGGAGACTACCTCCTTCTCCCTGAACAGGATAGAATACTGTGGTTCTGGGCAGCTTCGCCAGAACCTAAAAATTAAACCCAAGTCTCCGAGGAGTTTTGAGAAAGTGGAGCCCTCATTCTACCACAGTATTTCAGGTTGTTCTCTGTAATCCTGGCTTCTGTGAATAGAAACGATGTCTATATGGTTTTTGTAGCAGACCTGGGAATTCTCGCATTAAAATACAGTATTTAAGCAGTCGAGAAAGTCTTTAATAAGTTAGAAACATATATCATTTTGAGAATTGGAAGTCTTGTGCAATAAATTTCATGTCATTTTCTCAATTTATAGAGGAGGGAGATAATGTCTGGGAAAGTAAAATGACCTGTCATGTGCTGGTCAGTATAGGGTCAGGAGTGGGACACAAGTTTTCTAATTCCATGTCTACTCTTTCTTCATGACAACACATAGCCTCATCATGAATGATGTCCAGGAAGTGGACAGATGCATAGGGAATTAACCTAAGACAGCTTTCCTATGACAGATTCCTCAAGCAACACTAGGATGTGGGTGATACTTGTCCTCAGGCCTGGCTAACTCTATGCTGGCCCTGAACACATTTAAGTAAATGTAACATATATGTACACATATCACTTGCTTGTAGTGTATACATCACTTATACTGATCATTTTCTCTCTCCTCTTTGTATCTTTTCCATCTCAACACTAATACATGAGACTTCCTACAGAAAAACAAATGACATCACTTTCTCACTAGGTTTCCCTCTGGGAATAAAACTAATGGACAAACTCTGTGGGGCAACACAGGTGAGAAACTATACCTAGTTGTTAGTAGCCTAGAGCCTAACAGGACCCAACATTACCTACTACAGTGAGACTTGAGGAAAGGGAGAAGAAAAGTTGGTACAGAGGAGGGCTACCTTCAAAAAGGTAGACAAAAATGATATTGAGGTTCACACGAGGAAGACAAAGTCGGAAGTTGGAAGGATGACTAGAAGGTTTGGTGAAAATGAGTTCAAGATCACACAAAGGTGACACAGTCATGCCTTTCTGCAGGCTCTGGTGTGGACTGCCTGATGACTTCAGAAAAGTACATGGTTATGTACATTATATTTCCCAACTGATCTACCATGGAGGCTATGATGGCACTCTCTATGGTGCAGCCCAGACAGCTGGTGGTAGCATGCCATCTCAGACATCTGTGGATGACTTCAATTATTTTCTTGCTACTGCTAATGCATGTCCAAACTCAACTTTTAGAAAATTTAACAATGTATTTGTTGAAAGAAATATTGGGATTTTTAGAATTCTAAAATAAAGATGCATATTATCCTCATTTTAAGAAAAAATACATTTCAAAAAGAGTCTTCAAAGGGTTACAATAAGTTTCTCTCTCAAAATCTACAGTAACTAAATTTAACAATGGCTTTCATATCTTTCTCAGTTGAGCATTTTGTTTAGCTCAAAAAAGAAATAACTATAATATTTCTCTTCTAATAATGTCAGGAAGTTTCCATTATTGCCCAAAATGAAAATATTTCACTGTAGCCTAATTTCCCACTTCATTACATAACATAAGATCAAGAACCATAAAAATCACCATTTTCCTGATGACTTCAATCTATTTCATAAAGGAAAGAGAGTAAAGGATAAAACTATCTCTCAGCATTCCCAAACTACTTTGTTTTTGGAAGTTTGTATATTCAGGCAACTGTTGGCTGTTTATTGGTTTGAATAACCCAAGCAAGGTACAAGAAAATCTAACTTCTATGTTAGAACTCACATCTGCTTATGCTAGAATGAAAACCCATCTGAGAATCAATGAAGCACATGGAGAGGGTCTAATTAAATCCCTATGCCATTTCCTTTAAAGCTGTCAAATTGAAATTGTAATCGTGTATTCATTCACCCCCAGTGGTGTGGTGGTAATTTTAGAAGTGGGAATATTTAAGCAATAAGACCCAACAGGGTGTGTTTTGCTAGGATATCAACAAGACTGGATAGTTCCTAGGTAAGCAGCCAGTAGTCTGAAAACAAAACCTTTCCTAAAGACTAGGTGAATCATGAGACTATTCTACAAGTGTACAACCACCCTACACCATACTAATGACAAAGACAATTTTGGAAATGAGAATTTGTAATGGATACATTTATTAAATTATTCCATAAAACCATGTTAAACTGTTTAATGAAAATAATGAAAAGCATTGACACATTATATCAAAGTCATAGTATGTTAAACAAATTAAAAATCAAATTTCCAAGATCTCTGGATTTTGAAGTCACCATAAAATTCCAAACACTTGTTTTGTCTACAATCCTTTTTATTCTTACACCTAATTTTGTTGTTGCCTTAAATGATTCCCAATAAAAATTTAAGTGAATACATATGAGAAGACTATATGCTCTGCACTTGTTACTGGAGTACCTTTTTTGTCTCATTTTAGAGGACATCGCAGTTTTAAGGAGGAGTCTCTTTGGAACAGATTGAAATATCTAAAAGTTCTCCACATATACTAAAAAGAATATATATATATATATATATATATATATATATATATATATATATATTCATTCCACAATTACCCAGGATGCTTTCTGCATTCTGTTTAAATAATAAATCACTAAGAAATGCAACCAAATTAGATAGCTAATTCACTGGATTCATCATGTAGATACTGACTGAGTTAAGAGACTATGGGTACCTCCAGTCCTCAACACAGTATCTCTCTGTTCTTTTTTCTAGGCTATAGGTTTCTTATTCAATATAGAGGCAATGACAAAAACAAACAAACAACCCCACTAAAAACCAAAAACAAAAAAACACGAAACA